AACCTTGCTGCAGCTCCTTGTAGGTCCAACCCGAGATGTCACTGCTATTGCTATGTCGTCTTGCCTTTCTCTTAATCAAGTACGAGAATCCCAAAAGACTTATTTGAAAAGGATGGTTCCTCCTGAGTGGGCAATATTTATAGTTATGATTACTAGGAGTCTGAAATTTATTCTAATAATAGGGTTTCTGAAAGAATACACAGATAATGGAATACATTAATAAGTATGAAGAGAGGAAGTAATTCATGCCTGCTGTTCTGTACCCATAAGCTAAAATGAAAGCTTGACACCTTCTGGGTATCTCTGTACCTATTTTTATCGCTGCTCACTGAGCAAAGGGACCACATCCTGAGGTCATTCAACACACTCAAACCTTAACTCACTATCTAATCCCCACCCGCTCCTCCTGCATTTTTTTTTTTGTCTTTTTTGTGACCGGTAAGGGGATCGCAACCCCCGGTGTGGTGTCGCCCACACCGCGCTCAGCCAGTGAGCACACCAGCCATTCCTATATAGGATCTGAACCCGTGGCGGGAGCGTCGCTGCGCTCCCAGCGCAGCACTCTCCCCAGTGAGCCACGGGCTCGGCCCTCCTCCTGCATTTTTTTTTTTGTCTTTTTTGTGACCGGTAAGGGGATCGCACCCCCCGGTGTGGTGTCGCCCACCCCGCGCTCAGCCAGTGAGCACACCAGCCATTCCTATATAGGATCTGAACCCGTGGCGGGAGCGTCGCTGCGCTCCCAGCGCAGCACTCTCCCCAGTGAGCCACGGGCTCGGCCCTCCTCCTGCATTTTAATGGTAAAGGGTGACCATTCATCTAGTTGCTCTAGTCACATCCCGTTGTCTCTCTCACTGCCATTACTCATTTGGTCACCAAGTCCTACTAATTTGTCCTTCGCTTACCTGTCCCCTATTCTCCGTTGCTACTTCTATTGTCTTAGTTCAGGACCTTTACATCTCTTGTTCAGATAGCAAAATACCTGCTAACTAGTTTCCTTGCCTCTAATTAGTCCCTCATGAATTTCTCTTCTACCTTGCCTTCCAAGCTAGCTTCCAAAATATAAACCTTGTAAACAATGAAATCATACTCATATTTGAAGAAAACATTCATGAATATTATTTTAATCTTGGAGTATAAAAAGCATTTCTTAGCTTGACATAAAACCTAAAAGGCATTAATATGGTTACTTAAAAAAAAAATCTTCTGTAAGATATAGAACACTATAATCAAAGATTAAAAACACTATTTACAATAGCCAAGATATGGAACCTAAATCTCCATCAATGAATGGCCGGGTAAGGAAACTGTGGTATATATACACAATGGAATACTACTCAGCGATGGAAAAGAATGAAATTCTGTCCTTTGCAGCAGCATGAATGAGCCTGGAGAAAGTTATGTTAAGTGAAATAAGCCAGGCAGAGAAAGAGAAATACTGCATGTCCTCACTCATATGTGGGAGCAAAGGAAGGAAGGAAGGTAGGGAAGGGAAAAAGAAAGAAAGAAAGAAAGAAAGGAAGAAAGAAAAGAACACAGACTATCATAATAATGTGCTGAACTTTCAAAAGTAAAGAACAAAACAGTGGTTTCTAGAAATGGGAAAAGAGGAGGGGCAGGAAGGTTATCAGTAAATGGGTTAATGGACACAAAACAGCTAGTTAAGAAAAATAAGCTCTATTGAGGTATGGTCAAGCTAGGCATCTGTAATAAACAATAATTTACTGCATGTTATCAAATGATTAGAAGAAAGGTGATCCAATGTCCTCAACACAAAGAAATAATTACGTTTTGTAACGATGAATATGTTAATTATCCTGTTGATCATTGCACACTGTAGACAGGTGTGTTGGTACTAGACTCTGTACTCCACAAGTCAGTATAATTAATTATGTTTCAATTTTTAGAAATTAGGAAAAATATCTACAACATACATGGTGAAGGACAAGCTAAAAAAAAAAAAAAAGAACATTACAACTCACTAAGAAATAAACCTGTCGATAAATCTGAGATAACATCTTAAGTCCATCCCTCAGCCACACCAAGAGAGAAAAAAACTAATGCAAATAATTAAAAAGCAGTGAGGAAGGCACAAAGTGTCCTGCAAAGATGAAATGTGAGAAAATTGGTTATCAGTTACTAGATATCCAGTTACCAAACCTGCTTCAAATGCCCTGCCTAGATTAAATTATATCACACATCAACACTGAGATACCTTTAAGTACAGAAAAATGCCTTTGGTCTGTCTTGTTTATGCCTTTAGAACACAGTGGAGCATGTACGCACAGAACAAATCATTCCCTGTAAAGCTGGAAAGGCCTCTTTGCCTGATTATTGATGTTTCAGCTTTGAGCCAAAAGGTCGAAGTCTTCAGGAATGTTTCTGAACTCACGCACAACACCAAACCCTATTATTCCATCAGCACCAGCCTGGGCTGGAAGGCCAGAACAAATGCCCATCAGGTGAAACTCACTGAGTTTACCATTCCAACCTGAACTAAGTGATCAAATTATACCCCCTGACAAGAAGCCAGAGCGTCAGCAAAGTGTACAAAACTGGCACTGCCGACATGCCTGCCTCAAAGACACTCACTCTGCCTAGGCATCCAAAAGTGATGTGTCATAATCTAAATGTAATGGCACAGATGATTCATCTTTCAAATGTAAGCTCAGAGGAGATGGTAAGTCTAGTGCATCATAAAAAGAGATAAATCTTGTTAGAAAATCAAGTAATTCAAGGTGCCGATAAAGCTTTTTATGTGAATCTGGAACACAGGCCAATCACCAACTAGAAGACTACAAAGGAATCTGAGGCAAAAGCCCTAGATAGTACTAGTGTCCATTTGCCAAAAATAGAATTTAAAAATGAAATTAGGACTAATAACTGAAATGCAATCATAAGTAAATTTGGAGGAACCAACAGGGGATAAAACCAACCAAACAGTATTAGAAATTAGAAAATTTAACCAACAAGTTCCCACCCTTTGAAATGTAGGGCTGCACTGAGGAACCCACATGTCAGAATACCACCACTGTAAGATGCATGGCCAGTACCTGGATACATTACTTTTTGTTGCACTGAATTTTCTTTACTTTGTGAGCACTTACAATGCTGTTGTTATGATATGGACATAAATTCAATTTTCTAAATAGCTTTAAAAAAGACAGTTGGATTTTTAAATTTCTGGCTTGTGCAATGAATTTGCAGAAATTCAAACCTTGATCAACCATTTGAAACGGTTTCTCAAAATCCATTTGAGTCTATCATGTGCCTCTGGTAAAATTAATAAAATATTCTCTCAATAAACTTAGAGGCTTACATTATTCACTATTACTGGCTGAAATGGGCTCAACGGCTTCTGGAAATGAATATCATGTATGGAGATTGCTATGTGTTTAATATGTTCCCCAAAATTTCATGTATTGGAAACTTGATCTCCACTGTAATAGTATTAAGAGGGTGGGAAATCCGATTATAATATCAGAAAGATGGGGCCTTTGAGAAGTGATTGAATCATGAAGACTATGTCCTTGTGAATGGATTAATCCATTGATGGTTTAATGGGTGGTCATGGGCGTGGGTATGATGGCTTAATAAGGAGAGCAAGTGACAAATTTAGCTCTCTTGCTCAGCCCATCTGCCATGTGATACCCTGCATTGCTGTGGAGAGTTCCCACACAGAAGAAAGCCCTTGCCAGATGTGTTCCCTGGACTTCAGACTTCCCAGCCTCCAAAACTGTAAGAAATAAATCTCATTCCTTTTTTAAAATTTTTATTGATTATGCATATTCATGGGGTACAAAGCTGACCTTCACCACCTGTATCCAGGGTGTGATGGTCAGATTAATAGTACTGGGATGCTTATTACCACAAACTGCAATTATTCCCCATGTCCCCCACCCAATTAATCCCTGACCTCCCTCCCCCCACCAGCCCCTTGCAACCCTATACAGGCCTTCTCCCTTTGCAAGTCCAACACACTACTGTGGTCTTTCTTTCCTTCCTTCTTTCTCTCTAAGCTTCCACTTATGAGTGAGGACATGTGGTATTTTTAACTCTGGCCTGGCTTATTTCACTTAACGTAAGTTTTTCCAGGCTCTTCCATGTTGCTGTGAATGGCAGAATTTCATTCCTTTTTATGGCTGAGTAGTATTCCATAGTGTATATATACCACATTTCCTTATCTAGTCATCCATCGATGGACATTTAGGTTACTTCCATATCTTGGCTATTGTAAATAGAGCTGTGATGAACATGGGAATGCAAGTATCCCTTTGACACGATGATTTCCATTCCTTTGGGTATATACCCAAAAGTGGGATTGCTGGATCGTATGGTAGATCTACCTGTAGTTGTTTGAGAAACTTCCATACTGTTTTCCATAGTGGTTGTAGTAATTTACAGTCCCACCAACAGTGTAGGAGGGTTTCCTTCTCTTCACATCCTTGTCAGCATTTGTTATTCTCTGTCTTTTTGATTACAGCCAGTCTAACTGGGGTGAAGTGATATCTCAATATGGTTTTAATTTGCATTTCCCTAATGATAAGCAACAGAAATGGACTAATACAGAGATGCATCATGTGATCATTTAGATGGCCTACACACTGGCAAGGGGCAGCCATTCTCGAACTCTCAATTTATGCAAGCACAAAACCTGCCAAGAGAATCAAACCCCACCACTAGGCCTCCTTCCCTTTCCTGGAGAAAAAGGATTTGAAGCAGTGAGTGCCAGGAAATATTGTAATGCTGCTACTCCCTGGAAGGTATTATATAGAAACAGAGAGAAACGGTAGGTCAGAAGGGCAGAATCAACTTTACTGAACTAATACACATCAACCTCGGCTTTGTATCTGGCAGACTTAGGAGGGCCTCAGCAATAGGTTATATGCTAAATTAACAAACAAAAAGCAAACAGCACAAAACCTACTTAAAACTAAAATGACTCTTCCCTCAGCCCCCCAGTTTTAAAAAATACCAATGTGGGGATAAACATGGAGACTCACTCTGGGAAGCATAATGCCCCTCTGCAGCTTTGTCTTCATGCCCATCGTATTCCCTGCTGGATAGTTGTCTGTTGGCAGTCTCCAGTCGATCTATGAACAAAGAGGAAATGATTAAAAAGAAATGCGTACGGATTCAAGACATCATCCAACCGAGAAGTTAAATGGGTACCAAGAGCTAGGTGTGAAGAGACACTCAAGCAGGAGCCAAAAACTGAAACTATTATTGGGGAAGAATAATAACTATGTTCCAAAATGTCAAAAGAAAAGTCTTTAGATGCCATGCTGCATCTATGCAACCCAGTGCCAAAGGGTATGTGCCAGCAGTGGGTAGCTCAGGGCGGGTTCTAACAAAAACCACTTCACTGATTCCAAGGCCAGCAAACCTCTGACTCGAAGTCCTCACAAAGAGGTTTAGTCTCCTTAGCCTCAAACCCATCCTTGGTCTAACCTTGACCAGCCCTTTATTTTAGCCAGTGATCGCTATCTGTATACTGGAATCAAAAAACTAAAAAAAATTAAATAATTTTTTAAGTCAAAATGACCTAATGGATAAAAGTTGCACACAGTGAGTTCTATGTTTGCTCAAACCACTTGTTCAGTCTTCATTTATTCAATTAAGTAATCAGCTCAAGAAGTATTTACTGGACATATACAATACCCACCACAAAAGGATTTGTAGTAATATAAAAGGTAGGCTCTATCTGCTAGGGACTAGCAGCACACTGAGTGTTTGGACATACGAGGCAACTGAAAATGGCTTGGCTGACTGAGAGTGAAGTAAAATTGTGTGGGTCAAACCATCATGCAAATTGCAGGTTGCCAATATCCTGCAGCAGGTGGCTCCTGTCTTTCAGGGAGTATATATGTCACTCTTTTCACAACTGTGGGCTTTTTCCTCCCAGGAGGAACATATGTCTAGCTCTGTCTTCTCTACTATACCTAGCAATTGTTAAGTGCTGGCTTTCAAGGAATGCTACCAAATGACTCAGCCTGATGTGGAAAGGGTTGTGCCTCCAAAATTGGTCTTTTTAAGTATTCCTATTCAAACAGTCATGAATCACTGTTGAGTACTTTTAAAGCAAGAAGGAGCTGCATACGGACTCCCTCCCTTTCACAGACTCATATATATAGGGTGTCACTTCTAAGGCTCGATGCTGCAACTGACAGCCAACAAGGCAAAAAAGAACAATTCTGCTCTTTGAGCGCCACCCCCTTTCCCCAGATGGTTGGAATTTACAAGATTATCCAACACAGGCAGAAAGCACCAGTGGCAAAGCAATCTGGCTCTGAAGTCAGGCTGTCAGCTACACCAGTAGCTTAGGATAGAGAGGAACATGCCTCGGAGGTCTCTATTGAAATCATGAAGTCTTCTAATCTCGCCTTCCAGTTTGTTTCTCATCGCCTTGTCCAGAGACTCTCGCTTGGTGGTAGACTTGACCAGACTCTCATAGGCTTCCGAAATTCTCTGAAGTTCTTTTTCAAACTAAAAAAAAGAACTGGCATTAATATGGGACTTTTGACATTCATGCTGGTGTCTTAGTAATACTCATTCTTTGACATTCCAGGTGTGAAGGGTGAATTTTCAGTACAGCCTTTCTGCATCTCAAATTTCATGTAATTGATTTCACCCCTGCATCTTCCCTCTAAGGGCTACTTAGGATCCTGCAAGTAACAGGCTCACAAGTCTGTTGTCACCATCTGATGTCACCTTGTAAAAGTCTCTCTGTACCGATATTAGGAAGAGGTGAACCTAAATATAACTTAAACCTCTCATTTTCTGTATGGCAATTTATAACTATTATTCCCAGTTAACATAAAGAAAATATTAAACTATACAAAAATTAAAGGATTACAACTAGAACCCAAATTTCCAGACCCCAAGTACAATGTCCTCTCCAGAGACCTCCTACCCATCTCCAAATGAACATAAAATTCACTCAAGGAGAAGCTTCATTACTTAGCAGTTTTACCTCTTTGTCTATGAAATTATCAACATAAAGGCATGTACCTAAGCATAAACAAATGTACCATAAAAAACCTATGTATATGCAGGAATTGATAGATACAGGATTAAAACCTTTTTTTTTTAATTTCACTAAATTGAGACTGTAACAAGGAAAGCCTTTAATCTAGGGCACATATAAAGCTATAACAAGTAGCTATAACTTTTATTACAGGAGTTACATAATAGTGTGTTTTTTGAAGAAGATATCAATCAATCCTATTTTATTGCTGTGTAACATAAATGCAGAAGAAAGATAAAGACTGGGCAAGAGTGCCTGCAAACCAGAAGTCTGGTGGGCTGCTGCTGAAGTCAGAATCAGAGCCAAAGCTGACAGTGCTGAAAGCACCAGAACAGTGGAACCATGTTTTTGATCCCCAGGACAACGATGTCACCAGTAGCTTGGCACCTACTTTTCTGAATCCTGATTGCTCTGACCAAAAAGTCCCTTCTAAGACTCCTATAAACAATACATATCCTAATAGGTATTCATTATTTGCTTACAATGTGTCAGAAACTCTTTTGAGTGCCAGGGATACAGAAGTAAGTAAGGGGAGTATTCAGGCAGAGGCAGGGGCAGGGCATGAGACCCAGGAGATAGACTAAAGCCAAGAGACTGAATATCAAGGCTCCTTTTGCTAAATGTTATTTTCCCAAAGGCCTCCTTTTACCAGAGTTGGTTCTTCCATGATCTGCTCATTTCAACAAAGCCTTTCTGTTTCTCCCAAAGATATCACAAATTGTTGGTAATGTGGCAGCACAGAGAACAGCACGTCCTGAATCCTGTTCATAACACTACCACAAATGGTGCTTCTTCCTTTTCATTTCGTTTTCAAAAGAGATGACTCCAAAACACACCACCATTTCTACGCTAATTTTGGCCTCTGTTTTCAGACAGGTGGGCATGCTGCAGGGACAGTCCCTTTCAAGACCACACGGCATCATCTAGTTACTAAGGAAGCCAAAAGCACCATAAACCCTTCGGGTGCCCACCATGGGAGTGGTGCTCATCCTTCAAGCCCAGGACAACGGGGCAGTCTTTCTTAACACCACCACCCACAGGAACCTTCCCTTGATCTGATTTTATAGTATTTTTCTCTGTTGTAGTCACCTGAGTGGGATTCTGATGTGCACATGCATTTTGTGTCTCTGATTTGACAGTTAACTCCCAGAAGGCAGAAATAGCCCTTACCCGCCCCCCAAGAATTGTGCCCTGTTCATAACAAACTATTGACTGATTGATTTATCTTTAAATGTATAACTCCTAAATACAGGCTTGGGCACTCATAAACTATACCTGATCATGGGATCTTTTTTTTCACTAAAAGAACTTCCCTCTGCACACTGTAAAAAGGAAACTTCAGGATCCCTACCACAGCATAGTTTAGAATCTCAAATGCTAAAAGCAATCAAGAATCAGTGTATAGCTATGTGCTTAGAAGGTACCCAGAGAGAAAGGGCCAGGGTCTTAGTCCAGCACAACATACTTCCCATGAGAAATTATAGCTGTAATGGTGGTGATGGAGTTTGGATGTATTGTTCTCCCAGAACTCATGTCGAAATTTGATCCCCAATGTGGCAGTGTTGGAAACTGATTGAGTCATGGGGGCAGATCCCCCATGAATGGATTAGTGCTCTCCCTTGGTGGAGGGATTAATGAGTGAGATCTTGCTCTATTAGTTACCACGAGAGCTGGTTGTTTAAAAGACCCTGGCACTCCCCCTGCCTTGCTTCCTCTCTCCATGTGATCTGCTTGTACCCACCGGCTGCCCTGCCGCTTTCCACCATGAGCAGAAGCAGCCTGAGGCTGATGCCAGACACAGCTGTACCAGAATTGTAAGCCAAATAAACCTCTGTTCTTTACAAATTACCCAGTCTTAGGTATTTCTGTTATAGCAACACAAATGGACTAATACAGGTGGAGAAGGATTAGTCTCCTTCAGTGTAGTTAAAGAGGGCAGAGCTTCCTAGCTAAACTCTAGGAAGTTAAGAAGATGCAGATTTTGACTCAACCTAAGGAAAAATTTCCCAACTACATTTTCCAGAAATGCAGTAGACCCAGTAGTGAGCTTCTCTTCTCTGGAAGCATTCAAGTGAAAAAATAAATGACCCCCTTTCAGAGACATGAAACAAGGATTCCTAAGGCATGGGAAGTGAGACTAGAATCATTTTAAGAATTTTAAGTCTAAAACTCTATTATTTCTGATTGCACACTCCTTCAGAGCGAGAACCACACCTTCTTCATACCCTCCATGTTCACAACATCTTAGGCCTCTCTGACATTTGTTAGAAGTGAAGGGAAGGCTGGACAGGCTGGCTTTTGTATAAAAACCATTGGGGCCAGTTCAGACTCTGAGTACAGTTCATGGAGGGAATATCGGGTTTGCCCTTACAACTCCCATCCTCCCTTCCAGCCGAGGACTCAGGGAGCTCTCAGTCTGGGCTATGAGAGCCCCTGCAATCACAGAGAAGCACTCGATGTCCCAGAAACAGAACTATGAGCAGAACAGAAAGCCCTGCACAGCTTCCACTGATGTTATTTCCATAAAGCAAATGGGCAGAGAAGGCCCTAAGAAAATCTCAAGCACCAGATGTGACTTTTTCCCTGAGCACCTTCACATGCACAGCTTAAGGATGCACAGGACCAGAGAAAACCTAAAGTGCAAGCCACAGACTGCCCAATCAAAGCCACTTTGTGTTGCCCACAAAAGAAGAGGGTCTTCACTAAAGTATGGGGTAACCATAAATGTTTGGCCCTTTCCCTTCAAATATCCATCTGCTCCCTGATGGCTTCTGAAGCCAACCCACTCAACAGCCCACAGTCTGGTCCTATTGAAACTCCATCCATTAATTAAGTTTCAGGGAAACTGGTAGGAAAAAAAAGCAAAATGAGTAATCAAGGGAAAAACTGAAAAACAGCAGCTCTTTCTGGGGGTTCTCAACCATCATTCCAACATTAACAGTGATAATCACCACCTTGTGCCTCTTTGGAAACAGGGTCTTCATATCTAGTCTGGGATTTGGTAGTCTCTGAATTCAGTTGGTCTTTCCTGGCACAGTATGCGTAAGCTAAGCTCTGCAATTAAAAATTCATCTATTTTTGGTTTTGCCCTTACAGTGAGGGCCAAAGTGCTCCCAATGCTGTGAGGATCTCCAATGGGATGATACTGCGGGCACAGCATGGTCACATTCTACAACGTAAACAGCAGGCCCACCCAAAGCAGGGGTCAAATCCATGCCAGGGGAACTAGCAGCTATCATCACCAAGAAAGCAAAGTTGTCCCTCATTCGACCACACTCTCCCCAGACATAAGCTTAAGCAGCTTCTAAAAACTGAGTAGTGAGGCTGATGGCAAGAGAAGATCTGGGCTTAGGATGACCTCGGAACACAAGGCACGAACTGTTACACCACAAAGTTCATGCAACTCTTGTGTCTCTTGGTTCCATTTGTTGAGAATAGCTACAGAACTAGTGATGACTATGGCAAGTAACCATCAAAATATGAGGTTTTAAATTGACAGTTCTGGGCCGGCCCGGTGGCGCACTGCTACAAGTGCGCCGCTTGGGAGTGCGGCGGCGCTCCTGCCGAGGGTTCGGATCCCACATACAGACCGGTTCCCGCTCACTGGCTGAGCGAGGTGCGGGGGCAACACCGAGGGTTGCGATCCCGTTGCTGGTCCCGGTCCAGTACGGGTGCGACACTGAGGGTTGCGATCCGTTGCCGGACACGAAAAAAGACAAAAAGGAAAAAAAAAAAAATTGACAGTTCTGCTTGACATATGACAGATCAATTACATGTATTTATAGAACCATTTATAGTATCCAAGGGACTGAAGGAGTTCTGGTTTCCAGAAAAGAAATGGCTTTTCATTTGTCTCCTTTTTCAGAAGTCATCAAAATCCTTTTGGCCACAAATTTTAAGAATCATCCTCTTTGCAGGGAAATCAAGTCACTGGGAGATTAAGTGATTTTGTTTTTCAAAATACAAATGTGCATCAAAATCTAGAAAAACATGTGTGCCACAGGCCAATAAAAAAAGTATATACAGGGCTGGCCGGTTAGCTCAGTTGGTTAGAGTGTGGTGTCATAACAGCAAAGTCAAGGGTTTGGATCCCCATACTGGCCAGCAGCCAAAAAAAAAAGTATATGTTAATTAAAAAGTCAACGAAGAATAACAAGAAGACCTCCTAATTTCTATACCATCAATGTAACTCTTCAAAAATATCCATGAAAAAGACCCAGCACCAAAATCTGCCCTCAGGTGGATCTGCGGAGCTCCTGGACATGTCTGCCATGGAGCTTCATTAGGGAAGAAGAAATACTTGCTTCCCAGGAAATGCTAAGTTGGTCCTTCCCAATTTTCAGCCTGTACCAAGAAAGAAGTTGCCTCGGGAGGTGTCAGAGGCAAGCTTGGGCCTGCACAGCGACTTACAGGCCAAAGGCCAGGAGACAACACGCCTGCTCCCCAACATCTAAGTGGGGGATGGGAGCAGGGCCACAATCACAGGCAGCCCCTGTTTGTTTCTGGCTCATTCTTCCCCTCCAATAAAGGCAGCCAGCGCCCCCTGAGCCAAGTCTGGTCTTGACTCCAGGGAGCTCCAGACCCTTTCAGTGGAAGCTCCGCACAAACATGCTGGGGCAGATTCCATCTGAACATTCATGCCATCAAATCCACTGCTCCCAGCTTTTTACTGCAAGCCCTTGTGAAAAGAGAGGAGCCTGCTACTCTGAAACCCTTACCAGCAAAAAGACTGAATAATAAATAGTGAACACTGAAAGGCTAGCAAAGAGCATTAATTGTCAAAAGGAGCCAGAGTGACAATACTCTTGTAGTCAGATAGGGTTGATATTCCTACCCTTTCTCTTTACAAAAGCCCCTTATTGCCAAGAACAAAGCCAGGCCCTTAGACCCTTCTAAGATCACTACAACCACACGTGCCTCCATGCCTCCAGCAAGGAAACACTAGTGCCCTGTGGCTCTCCTGCCTCAAAATATCCCATTACTTCTTCTTTTTTTTTTTTTTTTGTCTTTTTCCGTGTCCGGCATCGGATCGCAACCCTCAGTGTCGCCCCTGTACCGGACCGGGACCGGCAACGGGATCGCAACCCTCGGCATTGCTCCCGCGCCTCACTCAGCCAGTGAGCGGGAACCGGTCTCTATGTGGGATCCGAACCCTCGGGCGGGAGGCCGCCGCGCTTCCTAAGCGGCGCACTATCCAGTGCACCACCGGGCCGGCCCAATATCCCATTACTTCTGCCTCTCCCCTCTTCTTTCCTCCCTGCAGCATGTCAGATGGCGACGTGTGGATCTCTGTGAAATCGCTGCCCAGCAACAGTTTACTCTTGCTGGATGTTCTATCTACTTTGGCTCTTATCATAAGCCCTAAGAAGGAAGTTGCCATACATTCCAATACTCCCACGATAATTACACAGGCTGAAATTGCTCAGCATCTCCCACCTGACAAGTCACAAGCATACCAAAAGCACACAGTAAATTCTACTTTTGACCTCTAGAGTTGAGGCAAGGCTACTTTTTACAGAGACCAGCAAATGAAATAAACAAAGCAATCACAAGGCTTTTTGCCTAAGATTCACAGACTTAAAGGAAAGCTCAATCTCTGTCAATTCATTCCTCTGTGCTACTCTCTGTGTTCTCTTATCCACTTACCACGTGTCCATCTGAGGAACTCCTACCTAGTCTCTGAGTCTCAGGTCAAGGGCCACCTCCCTTGTTCCTATTGTGGCCCCGTCACACTCTGCTGCAGGTATTAGCTTTTGCAACTCTCTTCCCTTTTAGTCTGTAAGCTCCTCCAAGGCAGGCACTGGGTCGTATCGATTTTTTTTTTTTTTTTTGTCTTTTGTCTTTTTCCGTGTCCGGCAACGGATCGCAACCCTCAGTGTCGCCCCCGTACCGGACCGGGGACCGGCAACGGGATCGCAACCCTCAGTGCCGCTCCCGCGCCTCGCTCAGCCAGTGAGCGGGAACCAGTCTGTATGTGGGATCCGAACCCTCGGGCGGGAGCGCCGCCACGCTTCCCAAGCGGCGCACTATCCAGTGCGCCACCGGGCCGGCCCTGTCGTATCGATTTTTGTCTCCCTAAAGCCTTGCACAGTGCCTGCCATAAGAAGGGACCTAGTCAGACGTTGGTGAGTTAAGTCAGCGAATCTACCCCTCCGAGCAGGTAAAGAACTCTGTTCCCTGCAGAGCGCCTCCTCCCTCCGCTTCCGCGGGAAGTCACATACCTTGTGGAGCTTGTCCGCATTGTTGTAGTAACCCTGAAGTTCCTGGTGAAGCATCCGGTTCTCCTCTGTTAGTATTTCCACCATTTGCTGGGCTCGCTCCACAATGGCGAATGCATCTGGCCCGAGTTGCTGGCTGGGGGAGGCGGCAGGCGGGGGCTGTGGGGCCGCCAGGGTCATGGGCAGCGGAAGTGGCACGGGGACAGAGTGCAGCGGTCCACTGACGGAGGAGGTCTGGGAGGACATGGGGCTGTGCTGCTGCACCGTCGACGGGAACGGGAGTTGGCATGGGCGGCTGCAGGGAACAGAGACCAGCAATCAGACCCCAGGGAAGTGGTGGGTGCCCGACGGGAGCCCCAACAGTACTCGATGCGCTGTCGATGTCTGCCCCGGTCAGAGGTCACCAGTGCACTTCCCAACGTAAGGTCGAGCGCAGCAGTTCAGCCGCTTATTCCACAGATATTTCTTGTGTTTCCCTGTGAATCGCAGTGTTCTGGCTACTGGGGATCCAGTGAACAAGGCAGAGCAGGTCTCTACTCTCAGAAGTTTACGTTCTAGGGGAGAGACACAGGCAAGCCAGCAAGCAATACACAGACAGCCAGGTACCAAAAAGGTATCAAAAAGGTATCAAAAAAAAAAAAAAAGTATCAAAAAGGAGTGCAGTGATGTGGTAGGGATGAATGAGGCTGCTTCCTACTGAGAGGTCAGGGAAGGGGTCACCAAGAAGCAGAGCTCTGAATCACAGACAAGCAGGAACCAGTGGTTTGGATGCAGGGGGTAAAAAAGTGGAGGGGAGGAGTATTCCAGGAAGGGGAATCAGCTAGTGCACAGGGCCTAGGGCAAGAATTAGCTCTGGCACAGGCAAGTGGAACAAAGCAAGTGGGGATAGGCACAGCCAGCAAACAGCAGCACAAGATAAGGCTACAGAGCCAGGCAGGGAACCCCGTGAGCCCAAGCCAGGCTTCCCCTTTGATGCACACGGAGGCCAGAAAGGACCTGCCATCACCCGAGTAGCCTGCAGGGAATGAGATGCACACGGCTAGAGCACAAGAAGTCCTCCATTCGCTCTAGGAGAGGGCTGGTGAGAGCTGCCAGCGTAGCAGCAGAAGAGAAACAATCAGGGGATTTGGGATGCATTTCGTATATATTGTAAATGGGGAGAAAATGGGGAAAACAAAAAATTACTCCTAGATTTTGGGCTTTATGCAAATGGACAGGGGTATCTATATCTGTATTCTGTATCAAAGGGCCAAGTCCTTTGGAGATGCAGCAACTTCTAATCAGTAACAGTTACATACGTCACCTTCCATAACTTGTGGCCATCCATAGCCAAAGCTCTCAGAGCTATAACCTCCATTTTTCCAGTGAGATCGCCTGGTCTTATATTTTCCTGTTAACTATATATGCTGGAATGTTTATGTACCCTGTCAGCCTCCACATCTCTCATTTTGTAAGCATTTCTGATAACCAGGATTCCTCTGAATGCCAACTCCCACAGATGTCAAACTCTAGAAAAAAATTTGACAAGGGTCACCTTAGCCCTCCCTACAGGGATCTGCAGACCTTCATAAACATGACCTTAAAATAAACCCAGCAGATCCTAATGGAGTAACTAACCTCAGGCCTCGCTTTGGTAACTAAGGGTACTGGGTTAGAAAGTATTTCCCACCTGAATTTCCTTAGGCCCTCAGTCTAGGAGCCCCCTCCATTTTGTGTTAAAGTAACTGAGATAGAAGTTCCCCAGACAAGGTGAGGAACCATGTAGCTCAATGCAATTCTTTATTCCTGTTCTCTCCCTACACTCTTTCTCCCTCTTTTACACTAATTCCATATCTGCTTGTACAGATCACCTTCCTCCTGTCCTCGGATTTCAGAAAGGAATGTTGTCAGTGGGGAGATGTAAACTTCCCTCTCTCTGCACACCTATTGCATAACTACCTGGCCATCTCATTAAGCACAAAACATTTCTGCATTTTGACGAATTTGTGCCTCTGCCATGTTGATGTGTGTGTGAATGTACATATCGTTCTGTGTGTACAAGGAGGTCTGACTCCATTGCAAGAGTGAAATGGCCCTGAGTCCCATTCACAATGCCCAGCTTTCACCACAGGTCATAGGAACTCCTGTCGGGCATGGACCTCAAACCCCAGAGATCTGTTACTGAATAAGTGCCTCATGCAGGCTGGCTAAATCCTACAATGCATTTTTCATGGAAAGAGGTTACCTTGGCAAGAGCCACAATACCACAAATTATACCACTGCCTTCGATTCAAAGACAGACACCCATTCTCACTCCTAAGTATTCCCTTCACACTTGACCCAATGAAAGGGATAAATGCAGTCGTCTCCTGGACATGGAGGTGGGCACAGATGAGTCTACAGCTCCCCCTCCCACCCCACCGGGGCAGCTTTAAGGTGGGGCTTCCATGTTTTAATATTTATTTAACTCCAGGATTTGGAAGTCACCTATGGTCAATGACAGGCTTATCTTTTTTTGTTAGGTAACAATTACAAGAAAAACCAAGAAGAGAGGCAGAAATCAGGTGACAGTGTTTTCTTGATGGCAGTCTACATCATCAATGGTGGCATGAGAATGCAGAAAAAGCATGTTTGCCCAGCTGACAGGACAGAAAAGAACAGACTTTTTCAAAATGAGACGTTTTCCATCAAACAGAGAGCACTGGCTTTGCAAATAAGTCAGTTACACATTCATGCTCATAAGCACCCATGATGACAGATGACGTGCAGGCAGGAGAGCAAGCTCCTATTCTTTGGCCCTACCACTCAGCCAGTTGGGGTTGGCGGACTCAAAGCTCCGTGCAGGTGCAGGCAGATTTGGGCTTAGTGTAAATGAAAGGAAAGAATGTCAGGAGAGAACAAGAACATTTCATACAAAATCACACCGGTGCTAAGGGACAGCCTATCCTCAGCTTGCAAAGATAATGCAATTCATGGCTACTATTAGGAGAAATATTTTCTAGCAATGGGGACAAAGAGAAAAAGGAAAAGGGATGACGGCCCACATTTATTGAGAAACTACTTGCAAATAGAATTCTACACTATAATTGTCTAATTGTGAGCATATTTCCCCATCAGATTGTGAAGTCAGAGAACAAGTTTACTAGATATCCTGTGTTAACTGTTATCACCGTTATTATAACTAATATCACTGCACCCCACAGCCCCTCATAGAGCCTAGCACTGCCTTTCTGAGAAGCCCAGTAGACCTTTTCTGTTATGGCTAACATTTATTGAGCATTCCAGCCACTGTATTATCCACTGCTACATGCGTCACCTCATGTTGACCTTTATAAAATAGGCATCACTGTCAGTCTATTAAAGACAAGGAAAACGAGGCACAGGATGGTAATCTGCAAAGTTTAGGAACAGATAAAACAGAAATGAAAGGAACATAAAGGAGATTCCAGCCCGGGCTTTCTGATTCCAGAGTCCTTGAAGCTCACTACTTCCCTGTGCTGGCAGGAGGCAGCCACCCTTTTGCCCTCTGCTCCTGGCTTCCTAACACCTGTGCCTGGGTCTGAGCCACCATCATACCCACGATCCACACCCACACACATAAGCACCAGAACTTTTCATAGGTTCAAATGGCCTCAGGGGAAGCATGAGGGCTAGAAACCTGCCTCTGGGTTGTTCTCTTGGACTATAGCTTGCATTCGGTGTTATTCTCTTTTCACAGGTTAATGTCTTGTCTACAGAGAGCAGTCAACTAAGGTTTACTGAGGGTCTATGCTGTCTGCCAGGCACCACATTTCATCACCTTGCTTCATCCTCACCAAAACGGACACAGGCACCATTAGCCATATTTTCATGAGACAATACAGGATCAGGAAGTCAAACAATAGGTCCTACTCCTTTCTCAAGGAACCCAGTGAGCCCTGGAACATCACAGGAAGTGACCTTTTTCCATCTGCCACCAGAATGACCAATTATTTAAATACATTGGAGCAAGACTGAAAGAGCTCCTTCTCCCCATGTCCATAGTAATGCATGAAAAACAGGATTTAAAGAGTTATAACTAAGAGATAAAACAGCTTTGCAGACTGGTCCTCCATCATCAATGAACTGGACCACGCTGTGCACAGTCCGACTCCCAGCATTTGCACCCAACTCTTTCCGCAATCCAACTCCCAGCACCCAACTCTTTCCTCCAAACTTACAACTTCCCCCAAATCACCTTCCTGACAACCTACCTCCCCTGGCTTTACGTCATGTTATTTATTCTCTTAAATTTGTTCTCTTAAATTTCTGGTCTCTAAGAACAATATACCTTAATATTTCATACATGTGTGTCTTTTCTCCTAATTATTAGCATGCAAGTTTTCTAAGGATAGAAAATTATGACATGTACCGAGTTAGCACCCCATAAATTTTTGTCAATTGATTTAGTCCCTAAGCTCCGGAGCAAGTTAGACCATATTTGCTTGATGGGTTTTCAAAGAATGGATAAACCTTCAACAGTGTAGTATTAAGGAAGAAATGAAAACACATCATATCAGAACCTATAGGCTACAGCAAAAGCATTTTCTAAAAGGGAAGTTTATAGCAATAAATGCTTACATCAGAAAATAAAGACTTCAAATAAACGACCTATCATTACACCTCAAGGAACTAGAAAAACAAGAACAGGCCAAACCTAAAATCAGTAGGAGAGAAATAACAAAGATCAGAGCAGAAATAAATGAATTAGAGATTTAAAAGGCAATACAAAAGACTGATGAAAAAGAGTTGGTTTTTTGAAATGATAAACAAAATCAATAAACCTTTAACTAGACTAATGAAGAAAAAAAGAGAGAAGACTCAAATAAAATCAGAAATGAATAAGCAGACATTAGAACTGATGCAACAGAAATACAAAATATTAAAAGAGACAACTTCTAACAACTATGTGCTAACAAACTGGAAAACCTAGAAGTAGATAAATTCCTGGACCCATACAACTTACCAAGGTTGAATCATGAAGAACTACAAAACCTAAACAGACCAATAGCAAGTAATTAGATTGAAGTAGTAATAAAGTCTCCAACAAAGAAAACCCCAGGACCAGACGGCTTTCCTAACAAATACTACCAGACATTTAAAGAAGAACAAATACCAATTTTTCTCTAACTCCTCCAAAAAATGGAAGAGGAACAACTTCCAAACTCATTCTACAAGGCCAACATTACCCTCATACCAAAACCAGAAAAAGATACAACAAAACAAAAGAAAACTACAGACCAATATCCCTAACAAACACAGATGTGAAGATCCTCAACAAAATACAAGCAAACAGAA